ATTTCTGTCCTTTGACTTGAAGATAGCGATTTGTTTGGACGTGCGGATTTATTGTGATAATTCTTTCGGTTTCTTGGTCAAAGCTATACCCCCTGATGTCACTTGGATTGTATATAGATGGAACTAATTGAGGGTGGAGGAACATGATCTAATGCACATTTTTGACGAGATTCTTCGTTTTTCATGTCTAGAGTTGGGTTCGCGTGTAGCTGTTTTGTGGCAGAAGCTAATATGGCTTCCTATGTTGTTGTACCCTGGTAATGCTTGAGCCGTACTTGATGGACTGAACATATGGTATCCAGCATACTTACTATGAAGGCCAACAATAGTAGCCTTCTTATTCTAAAATATACACAGACCCTGCGGAACCCCAGGGACGAAGAAGCTGGTGGTCCCTGGGATCAAATAAGCTTAATAACGACAGGCTAACTGGCTCCACCTTGACCCCGATCTGACCAACCCCCCCTCATATTCATTCACACAGCCATCCACTCCCACAACGCCGGCGTTGTGCTCAACCTGCCGTTAAAGCTGCGCGATCTCCCCGTGGCCTCGCGAGACCGCCATCCGCGCGGCCGTCCACATCTTATTCCCGGATCGCATCGCCACATCCGCCCCGGCATCCAGCAGCAGCCGCACAACCTCCAAATGGCCGCCTTCCGCCGCGGCCGCCAGCGCCGTGTAGCCCTTGTACTGGCCGCCGGGGGCGTTTACCTCCGCGCCGGCGGCCAACAGCCGTCGCACCGTCGCGCGGTGTCCCGCCCACGCCGCGCCCTGGAGTGCCGTGACCCCCTGATACCGGACCGCGGGGGCGTTCACCTCGACACTGTACGGATGCTGCAGTAACAGCTCTACGATGCCGTCGTGGCCCTCACTCGCCGCCGCCTGCAGCGCCGTGCGGCCGCGGTTGATGGCCGGGCGCGCGTTGACGTCCGCCCCCTGCGCCAGCAGCCACCGCACCACCGCGGCATGGCCCCCCTCCGCGGCAGCCTGCAGCGCCGTGCGCCCGTTGTACTTGTGCGGTGGCCGGTTGACCTCCGCGCCCGCCGCGACGACTAGATGGCGCACGACGCCGAGGTGGCCCGCCCCCGCCGCCAGGACCAGCGCCGTTCGTCCGCCGTTGTTGCCGCCGGGGAGGTCGACGGCGGCGCCGGCGGATAACAGGGTCTCGACGATGGCTAGGTGGCCGTTGAGCGAGGCCGCTTGCAGCGCGGTGTGGCCGTAGTAGCCTCGTGGGGGTCCGTTGGGGTTCTGTGATGGCTGCTGCTGGGTTAGGAGGTGCTTCACGAGGGGTAGGTCGCCTTGCGCGGCGGCGAGTTGCAGTGGGGTCCAGATGTTCTCGTCGTCGTCGTCGGCGGCGGCGGCGGCGGCGGCGGCGGCTTCTGATTCTAAGGGGGGAGGTTGGCTTTGGTGCATTTTCTTGGGAAGAGGTGGGAGTCTTGGTGTGGTTGTTTCGTGTTTACGCTGCGAGTATATGTGTTTTTGGTTTCACTTGGCAGAGTCCTGGGATAGGATGCTGACAGGCTTGGAGCTGACCAGGGCTTTTAGTTCATTGGCTCAATTGGTGTGGCCATGTGCTACGCTACGGTGATAATGCGGGGTTTGGGTGCACCATCTGTCGCCATACTGTCTAGTCTTCTCCGACGGAGGTCCGAAGGTAGTCAATGTCATGCAAGATAAGAGATAGAGCAGCGCACGGCGCGTGGTCAGATATGTCAGTCATCGCCCTAGCTCGACGTTTCTTATAGGGATATTATAGGTATTGATTTCAGTTCTGTGGTGCAGTAGCAGAAATTCCGCGAGGGTCTTGGGCTGACTGCTGAGATAGACGTCGTATGGCCATTTCATTCCTGTTATTGCTTGACCTTTCTCATTCTACTCGACCAGGAAATCAAAGCGAGATGTGTCAGGCGGTGGTCTGCATTGATGAATGAGACTGCTGTACATTACGCGCTTGACGATGTCGTGTGGTCTCAGCAGCTAGACACAGGCTGCAGTCTAGAAAAGTCATCGCGACTGTGAGTGAAGTCGAGCGGCTTAGGCTGTGGCTGAAACGAGGCTGACGCTCTGCGAGATATAACTTATTGGCTGTGCAGCCATCATGTCGAGGCCCAGGTACAAGACTCTGGGTGTAAGACAGTGGCTGCCTGGAGACTCAGGCGCAAAGCGGCTGAGATCAAGCCTTTCGCAACCCTTGCCGGTTCTGGAAAGGCATGCGGGTGAATCAGATGCCGTCCGTGACACCTGCCCAATCGGGAGATTCCAGCACCAGCCCAGCTACCGAGCTCATCTTCCCGGCATCGCCACGAATCTCGTTGCAAGCTCGCAATACTGACTGTATGGAGTCATGTCGAGGTGGTTTGCTCCAAGGAGCTTCGTGCCAGCAAGGCAAGACACAGGCTGCCTATATAAGTGCTGCTTCCTACTTTGATACTTGCAATTTGACATAGAGAAACTAGGGTTTCATTCTTCCAGTACCCCAACGAGGACCTATTGTATGAAATGATCATTACAGCCATCAGATATTTCCGTCAGAAACGGCATGGCTCGACTTCCCGTCCGGCAAAGCAGCCATGTCTGCATCGCTCACAAGGACACCATCACGAGTTAGCTACTACTGGCAATGAAGACCTTGAGTCCTCGGCGCATAAGTCGACCGCCGACTCAGCTGAAGTGCTCACTCCTACAGACCACCATGAGAATTGCAGTATCTGCCATGAGCAGAAGCGCCAGCGGCGCATGTATCGACTGAGACTCATCGCCGGTCTCTCTCTGCCTTTCATCTTGTCCACCCTGGACTTGACTATTGTGGCCACTGCAACCACCGTCATCGCATCGCACTTTGGTAAGTGTTCCTTCTCATTAAGGTCTGGGACATTGGTAGTCAGGTTCTGATCCTGAACGATAGGTCAATTCGATGAGTTGAACTGGATCGTCACGGCCTTCAGCCTGACATCGACGACCTTTATCCCGATTTTCGGTCAGTTAGCCGACGTCTTTGGGCGGCATTGGGTGCTGCAGACAGCGATATTTCTTATGCTCGTCGGGAGCGTGCTGTGTGCGGCGGCGCAGACGTGGGGGATGCTGCTGCTCGGCAGGGCGTTGCAGGGCACCGGATCCGCCGGGTTGGGGAATTTGATCATGATCATCCTGGCGGATAAGGTCTCGTTGAAGGAGAACGCAAGGAACAAGTCGCTGTTCACGCTTGTTGGAGGTGTGGGCTATGCGGTGGGGCCCATTGTTGGAGGGTATGTTCTCTCTCCCTCTCTGTGCTCTTCTGGGCGCGGTTCGCTAACCACTGAGGGTCAGGTACCTAACTCAAGTGAGTCTCATGGATTCACACTGATGTGAAACAGCTGCTGACAGTGCGAAGACGAACTGGAGATACTGTTTTGTGGTTCCCATCCCGGTAAGTTGAGCAAGATTTTTTTGATTTGATTTGGGAAGTGCAGCTGTGCTAACTAGATAGTAAGATTGCTGCACTGAGCCATATTCTGGTCTATGTGTTGCTACGACATGATCTGGTCGAAGGGTCCATGTTCAAAAAGGGCTCTAGATGGTCATCTGTGCTCCCGGCTCTTGCGACGGTGGATCTCGGAGGATCGATTCTCTTTATCTTTGGGGTGGGCCTCATCATCCTGGCGACCACCTGGGGAGGTGCGGCATACTCGTGGTCGTCACACCAGGTTCTGGCGCCGTTGATCGTGGGCTCAATATGTTTTGTGGCATTTGTTCTATACGAGTATCTGCTCGAGCCAGGCAGATTGTGTGCCAGAATATTCCCCAGGCATGTTGCAGTCCTGCCATACAGTCTTTTTGAACGAAGAGACACGATCTGGCTGGCGATACTGAACTTTGCGACGGGAGCAGGTAAGGCTGGCATATTTCACTCGTAACTGCGTGGCAGTCGCTGACACTTTATCAGCGTCTTACTCCATCTTCTATTTCATCAGCATCTACTACTTCCTCGTGGCAGGATACTCCACGTCGAAGTCTGGACTCGAGCTTCTATACTACATTCCCGGTCTAGGAGGTACAGCGTCTCTCCTCCGCCCCATACCGCTGATCGATGCACTAACAGTATGACTCAGGAGGCGTCTACTGTGCCGTATACATGTGCAACATTTTCCCCCGACAGACCTTCTTCCCTCTCACCTTGGGTGCAGTCCTCAGCACCCTCGGGCTGGCGGTGATCTCTTACGCCATCAGCGCCGAGAACACCAGTCTTCTCAGCGGCATGATGGTCGTCACCGGCGCGGGCATCGGGTTACGGCTGGTCCCCTCCTCGCTGCACACCGTGGGCGTCTGGCCCGAGAGGATCGCTCCCGCCATGTCCCTGATGCAGGTCTCGTTGCCGTTCGGCGGCACCATCGGCCTGACCATCATGACCAGCGTGTTCAACAACAAGTTCGGTGACTCCGCGGCCGTCCAGGGACTTGGGGATGGCGGCACGCCGCTGAACGTCCACGACCAGAGTTCCCTGTCCATGCTGGATGGGCTGTCGGCTGCTGCACAAGAGGCGATCCGGGCGGCAGGGAAGGACGCGATCATGTGGGCATTCATCGCGATTCTCCCGATCATGGGAGTGAGCTTGCTGACGGGGCTGATCATGGGGAATGTATGGGTCAACGTCGTAGAAGATGGGGGCGAAGCGCGAAGCGAGGTGATCCACGTGCCCTATCTCTGGGCCGTAGCCAAGGTGAGTCCATCCCCCCGTTGTGCTTATGGGAAGCGCAATTACTCATACTCAACGCAGGGCAATCTGAAGTCTTACAAACAGACCAGCAAGCCTAGATGACACCCAGCCGAGCAACTTACATAGGCACATACAAACATTATAGAACAACCGAACTATAAACATTCATTAGATAACTTCCCCCATTTTTCGATTCTACCCGACCGATATCCCCTCCACACCCAATCAGCGTGGCTAGCTGCTCACACCCCGGGCCTCCGCACCCCTGAACAAAGCCCCATTCCCCAACCCCGTAAACAAGAAATCATCGCAAAACCCCCCCGACACCCGCCCACCCCAACACAAACCCCGACAACGCCTCCCCCAGCACCCCACCCCCAAACCAAACATCCCGCCACGCCGCCCGCCGCACCATCTTCTTCGCCGACTTGTCAGCGGTACTGCTGCTGGTGGTGGAGACACCCCGCACAATCCCCCGCTCATCCAGCCCCAAGACCTCCCCCTGCGCGCCCGCAAAATACATCCCGGCGCCCCAGCCCCGGGACCGATACAGCACCAGCGCGTGGAACAGCGCGGACACGACCACCGTGCCGAGGAAGTAGAAGGCGAAGCCCGTCGCCGACTGCAGCGAGAGGATCCCGGCGGTCAGGCCTAGCAGGAAGGCGGTCACGCTGTGGAGGGAGGTGAGGACCTATTTTTTCCAGAGGTGGGTTAGCATGCATGGTACGGTACGGGGTGGAGGTGGAGGTGAAGGTGGAGGTAAGGGAAAGGAAAGGAAAGGAAAGGAAAGGGCTGGCTTACCCGGTTGTTGTGGGCGAGGGACTCCGAGACGAGGGGGTTGATTAGGAGGGAGAGTTCTTGTTTTGTGGGGGGCATTTTGAGTGTATATTCCGCCCCGTTTGTGGGAAGGTAGAGGGGTTTTTTTTGTAAAAGGTTGATGGGGTGTGGGATTGAGGCCGTGGGTGATGGTGGTGATGGTGATGATGCTAGCGAGTTGGGGATTCTGCCGCTTCTCTCCGCTTAGCTATCAGCTAAGCTACCGAGTCAGTGCTAGCTATCAATAGCCATTCCGCCGATTAAAGCTACATTCTACAAAGTAACAGATTACTTCCAAGTACCAATACTATACAGTATCATTCATCCTTGTCTTTTAAAGAAGTATCTACAGACCAAATCCAGTCAATTCCCTTTGTCCAATTATCACATTAACATCCTATCCGTCATAACATCGACACCCTTGAGACACAGCCCCAAGCATGTCTGCATCAACATGGAAAATACAGCAAGAAAAAAAAACCAATCAACTGGGAAACAGCTTCTCATGTTCCATTACTAGACAACTTCCTCCCAAAGATTCATGCCGATATGAGATCGCTCATAGGTTCATTTCGGATCCTGCCACTTATGCCCAAAGCCAATCTAGGTCAATTAATGCAATAGAGAGAATGTAAGCAGAAAACGTCGTTCAGTTCAAGAGGGAATGAATGAGTGGAATGGTTGGGATAGTCGCATGCAATCCCTGCGTTTCGTTCAAGCGATGTTGTCGAGCTTGCCGTCGGCCTTGGCTTCGCGCACTTGCTCAAACACCTGTTTCAGGTGGTCAGCTTTCTGCCTGTTGTCTGCTGCTATTGGATCTCCAAGTAGAACTCACCTTTAACATCTTGTTGCGAGCACCAAGAGCATTCACGCCACGCTCCTCCAGAGCCTTGTCGTTCAGCTCAACCAGCTCCGTCCACTTGAGGTCCTTCAGGTTCTCAGTGTACTTGTGCAACCGGAGCGATCTCAGCCAGCTGGGAATATCCTTCAGCAGAGCCGGGTCCGTGGGATCCTCTGGCGGCTTCGAGCTGCCCCGACGTCCGCGCGGCGACCGACCACGAGCCACCTCCGAGTGGTCCGAGAGGTAGCCTTCGTGGCCGCCCAACCCAAACTGTCCCATGCCTAGCGCGCTCAGCCCATTACCCATGAGCGGGTTGTTGGGATCGTACGCAGCGAGAAAACCGTTGTTCTGAGGGGAAGTGAAGTTCATGTGTCCCAGGCCACCGCCCTGCATGGCGATTCCAGGCGACGTCGGACGAGAACGGTGACCAGCCATGGCGGCGTGCTGTTGCGCCTGCAGAGCGGCCAGCTGCTGAGCATTCAACAACTGATTGGCCATGAGCTGGTTGGGAGTGGGAAGTCCTGGGCTGGCCAGAGGCGGGGGACCCAGGTGGCTGACCGAGCTCTTGCCCTGGCCATCGTTCGAGCGGGCACGGCGGTACTTGCGAGCATCGTCGAGTGCGATCCGATTGTTCACGGTCGACAAAGCAGCCAATTTCATCGCTGTAGCGTTAGCCACCATATCGGCCTGCGAGTTCTGCGGAGGGTGCTGCGCCTGCTGCCCAAATGTAGCCGTCATCGGGGTGTTGGTCATGGAAGCCCAGCTGGCATTTCCAACATTGTAAGGAGAGAGCAGAGGGGCATCGATTTCCGGAGCGGGGATGGTGGCCGTCTGGGTGGGCAAGGGTGAACGCAGGCTGGAGGGGTTCTGGCTGAATTGACCCATCGGCTGCTGGCCCGAGGAGGACTTGGGTCGAGCAATGGGAGGCTGAGGTTCCGAGCCGCGCTGCACCCAGGGAGAGACGGGGGGCTGGCCCAGGTTGTCGGTGGTGTTGTCCGGGGCTGAGATGGTCGGCGCAACGAAGGAAGTGCGGTCCCCGAAGACAGCGCTGTTCCGGTTGGAGGGAGGTGCATTGCCTGTCTGCTGGGTAAACTCAGCTTTCTTCTTGGCAATGGCGGCCGCCGCGTCAGGGAACATGGCGTTGATGGTCGAGGAGTCGAGTCCGGAGTTGCGCTTAGCGCCCGGGGAGGGGGGCGGACGGCCCAGAGAGTTTCGAGAGCTGTCCACGTTCAACTTGGCCATGGCATCGTTGAGTCGATTAGACATAGCGTCTGTCGCGAACGTCATAGATAAGCCATTGTACCCATACTGTGCGGAAATAGACATACCTTTTTCTCCGAAATTGGCCGGGGACAACAAGCCCGACATGGGGTGGCTCTTAGCCATCTGCTGCAGAACCTGGATGAAGAAACGAATCTGCACCTGGGTGGTTTGCTGCAGAAGAGCATAGAGCGCAGCGGTCCTTTCCGCCTCACTGAGCACGCGGAACCATTGTTCGATGGCACTAAGCTCGTCCTTGAAGTCCTGATCCAAGGTAGCGGCGGCCATTTCCTCCAGGGTGGTCTCGTACTGGTCAATGTCCGCCAGCCATTGCTGAGCCGCGCGGTCCAAGGGATCCTCGGTGTTATTCGAGTTTTGCGACTGCTGGTTGAAGAAAACCTCGGATGAAGGACGGATGCTGCGGGAGGACAGCGGAGACGGGAATCCCGACATGTCGGCCGATGCTCGCAACTGATGTGACCCTAGGTTTCGAGAAGAGGAAGGCGGACGAAGGCTAGACTTGGAAGCTTCCGGAGTGCTGTTGCGGTTACCGATGATGTGGCTGGCCATAAGTGAGCAATGAGTGGTGGTTGTCTCGATAATAAGGAAGGTCGCGGTCGGAGAGGAGATGCTGGGATCTCCCTGGATTTTTTCCTCGCGGGGTTCGGATGAATAATAGATACAGAAAGAATAATATTACTGCAAAACACCTGCAGCACCTGCTGAGTTTGCGTAAAACCGACGAATGTTTCGAACTTTTTATCGAGTCCTTTTTTTTGGTTTTTGGCTCCTTTGCCCCAAGCAATTTCACCCTGTGCCGGTACTTTGAGAGCAGACAAGGAGGAAGCGAAATGACCGATCTCACTAAGGATGGAGACCCTTGGTGGAAGCGTGATAAGGCCAACGGCGTAAATGTTCTGGACAGAGAGACGATTTGGGATGCACAGACCAGTCCAGTGGCTGCACTACCCGATTCAGATTCTTAGGGGAAGAAGAAACCAATCGAATCGTAAGAGCATCAACAAGGGAGTCGGAGTGTGAATAAAGGGGGGTCGAGGGGGGGGAGATAGAGTCGACCGGTGAGGGGGTGGGAGGATGGAGAGAGGGGAGAAATTGATCGGAAGGTGAAAACAAGAGAGTGAGGGTGAGAGAGAGAGAGTGAAAGTGAGAGAGAGGCTCAGTCAGACAGAGAAGAGAAACAAGGCCAGAGAAGCAAAGCGTCGGTTGGACAAAGCGGCGAGAGTTTCCGGATCTTGATTAGTTTTTTTTTTTCACTTGTGGGTTTTCCGTCGACTGCAACTCCTTCGTTCAACTTCTTTTTTCCCCTTCTTTTTTTCTTTCTGGAATAGTACTCTTTTTTTTTTTTCTCTTCAAACGAAAGTATGTCAGGAGTCTTTTTAATTGTGTAATTGCAATAGTGTGTCAAACACAACAGGCAAGTAACAGATCCTGAAGCATCAAAAGGGAAGGGAAAAAAAGAAGGGAAAAGGAAAGTAGATATAAAAAGAAACAGATAGTAGTGGGGGGAGGCGTCGAGTTAGAAGAGGAGAGAGATAGTAGGAAGCAGAGGGTAAATATGTAGAAGAGGGCAGCAGCAGCAGCAGCTCTATGGAAGGAGGGTCTGAAAGTACAGTACTGACAGTAAATACAAGCAAGCGGGCAAAAAAAAAAAAAAGTCACTGGACTGAGTTGACCATCCATCCATCCATCCTCACTTCCCTCCCCCTTCTCGGCTTTACTCTCTCTACTTAACCAACCAGCATCACTTTTGATCCAGAAGCATAGTACTATTCTTGCTACTATATCAACCTATATCGTATCCGAGTCCCTGCGAACAAGCTAACTGCCCTGAAACCTGAAACCTCCCGCCAGTATCCGTGCCTCCTGTCTTCCTGAAACTAAACCGACTGGTCTGGCCGCTTAGTGCCATGTCCTCCTGTTAAGTTGTTATTCTTATTATTGCCTGTAGGGTCGGTTGCCTTTCTTCCCTTCATTGTTATCGTTCTTGTTCTTACCTTATCACTATCCTTATGATTATCGGAAACATGATAAACAAAAAAAAATCATTCCTTTTTCTTTGATCCTGGCACCCTTGCAATTCCTCGAATCTTTCTAAACATGGATTAGGCACACCCTTTGCAACGCTATCTGACCATCCACAATCCATATACCCCCTCTCTCCTCCCCAAATCCCTTCCAATTTTCAAAGTGCTTGTCTTCTTTGACCGGCTTTTTTGTTCCCCCTCCCCAAGCGCGCCGCATCTCCATGTCACCCACCCAATAATGGTTCACCCTTGGTTCCATAGTCTGAACTCCGCTGCATGATCCTTGAGACCACGCCACTGCGACCGCTTCTAGTCTAGACTATTATTATCGTGTCGCGGGGGTGCAGCCAGCTGACGATCCCTGTCCGGCCGCAGAACCACTTCCGAGGATCCAGACCGTCAATCCTGCATGACTTGTTGTCCCCGCAAGGCTCAAAGCCACACATTGAGAGCACTCTGCACAAACCTTATCAAGCAGTAAATCAGTCGTCCAATACCATGGATTATCCCGACTCTACCTACCCGGAGCACGGGAATTCTCCCGAAGAGTACGCCTATCCGGCTGTCAGCCAGACAATGCACTACCCATGGCAAGGCGACCAGCCCCCAGCCCAGGCTGAGTCCTCTATCGACCACTTACTGGATCCTCGTCTATACAGAGGCTTGTTTACCGCCGGTGCCACACAACCAGTAGACGATCAAATCGACAACGAGGACGTAGGAAATGATCCCGAAGTGGATGCCTCTGAGGACTCTCTTTACTCCTTATCCTCAGAGGAAGAGACGTAAGCAATACTGGATCCCTCTCTGAAGCCGATACTGACAGACAGCAGTGATGAGGAAGAATATGAAGCCCCACCAGAAGAAGGAGATGACAACGATTCGCTCTCGCACCGTCGTCGCCGCAAAGGAGGCCCCTTCAGTGGCCGCTATGGTGCCCGAGGCATGAAAGGAGTCAAAC